TATTCTATTGGTCTAGGCCTGGTTCCCGCACGGGCAACTCACTGCCTAACTATCAGTGCACGTCGTACGTCTGGGATTCCCAGGAAAGGGAGAGGGAAGGGTCGCATTTGGTCCCTGGATAGATAGAAAGTCGTGTTTGCCTTTGGTGGTGAGGACATTGTTTGTTATTGTTGTTTTTACTTCCCGTTTCAAGAGTGCCGCTACACCCCTTACCCCTTCCCCATTGGAGAGTTTTTTTGGCAAAAAGTAAGGGTCCCTCAGGGGAAAGACCCCTGGAAAATGGTAGGGAGTTGAAGATTTTCAGAAAAATAGTAGGCAGGTTAGGGATCTGGAACGTAGTTACCAGACTAGGGAGTTTTGAAGGGGTCATATCCTGCAGAAATTTCCCCAACGGCAGCGCGTACCCTGCTCTTCATTCGCACTGAAAGGACTTGACTGTAGTGATCCAGGAATTGCACGTCAGCAGCTGCAGCAAGGAAAACTACTGCAGAAGAGGTTGAAAAATGGTTTAGTTGTTGCAGCACTTATGATGAACACTAACCCAGTGATCCCTGGGAACAGGTACTGTAATCGCGAATAATGCGGCTGACCACGAAGGACGGCTGATGCAATCCCACAGAACTATCCAAAACGGCTAGACACCCATTTCCTCCCTACAATGCTCTTACCCTGATCAGAAACACTACTAACTAGGAGTTCGAAAAGCCCTATTAGGAGGTGCTGTCTCCATCTGCTCAGCTCAACGAACGCACCTGGTCCCTTCCGACAGCCTGCTCTGACACAAACTGTAACCTCCGAGATGGTCCTTTCCATGTGCTAGGTGAATGGGGCAGCACGGCACTCAGATTCACTATTCTCCAGCCCGTATTCCTGAGCAGGAGACACTGGCATGCTACTGCAACCACCAACCCTTTCACCTCATACATGACAAGGATCCACAATGGTGAGAGTGCATTTTGTCTCCAAGCTCTAGAAACAATATGTAAGAGCGAAAGCAATTGCGATAATTAAGCAGCATTCGAAATGGAAGATAACCAACTGCTCCAATACTCCTGGAACACCGAATAACTTGAATGCGAACTAAGCTCTTACCAGAATCCGTAAAGTACGTCCATCATAGTAGGTAGATTTTTTTAACCAAATGTTCGAGAAGTTTCTTAACAAGTCTCTAATTTCTCAATTTCTGCCGCTATTTGAGTACCTCCAGGACCACCTGCTCAACCCTATACCATGAGAGACCATCTAGTCACCATCAGTATTACTTTTGAGGCATTATTGATTCTGGTGTTAAACGGACATTTGCAAAATCGCACATTCTGTCAATACAAACGGACGTTTACAAAATCGTACATTTTGTCAGTTACGCAGTTCATTAGAACTTCATATAGCGTGCTAACCGTCCTTAGCGCGAGGCCCCCTGGACCGCCACGTCTGCGCAAGATCCACACAGGTACTAGCCATGGATAGCTGTGACTACTCGATGGAATATTTGATGAGCTATCTTGTCAGAAACTGTTTCCTCCGCCTATGTAATGATAGGGAAGGTCGTCAGGTCGAAGTGGCCATTTGTAATGAGATGTAGCTCACTAGACGTGGTTTTGACGCTGATCTCGAATCCGCTTTTGAAATTTGCAGAACAATTCTGTAACGGGAGTTATGGGCTTTTTCACTCGCGTTTACCAACGCATCAGTCGTGGGATCGACATCCTGCCTGACTTAACTTTTTTTGCTCCTAGCGCAAACGGGGCAAAAAGTGGTTGTAGTGTCCCAATAGTTACATTCAGCGCTCCCTGCTGCTGAATCATTGCGGAATGTTTCGCTCTGCCCCCCCCCAAACCATGCTCGCTACTGGCGTAGTGCCTTTATCATCTAGACGAGTTGTGTGTACAGGTGCCCTTGGCGCGGACTGCAGACGTCTTTCGCCGACTGAGCGAGTGCCACAATTCGATATTATGGGGCGACTACGCCTAGAGGTTTCTAGCCAAATCTGGCATTTTGACCTGACTTCGAAAGTGAAGCATCCATGGGTTAGTTCAGTTGATGATCACACCTATTCAGCTGCAGATACATTCTCCTACACAAAACTCGTCTCTTGCTCTTATAGCATTCATTTGTATTATTGCTCATTTTCCTGGTATCTAAAAGCAAATTCCGTCCAAAGACAAGTAATCGACAAAGACTGGCCCTGGAACTATTGGTGACCATGGTTTGATCAACTGCCACCGCACTTTACGTTGTCTAAAGACCTCACATTCTGGCTAGGAAACCTGTCCCCAAGGTAGTTTTGCTCCTCTAAACAGCGAATGATGGCACCCTTTGGTGTTTGAATGTTTCTAGACTCAAAAAGATACACCCCTCACAAAATGCAAAATATGTTCCTTTCCAGAAATGCGAACCCTTCATGGCATGCCCGCAAGCTAGACCATTACCACTACATCATGCCGGTTCTTCCCGGCTATTCATGCGAATTGGCTAGCAACCTTCGACCCCCTTTCCTTCATTTCAATTCTGAACAAACCATTCATAATTCCTTTCAGAGAATCTGCAAATTTCGAAGGCAGATTCGAGATCAGCGTCCAAAACCACGTCTAGTGAGCTACCTCTGATTACAAATGGCCACTTCGACCTGACGACCTCCCTAGTTAGAACTCTTTAATAAACCAAGTAAGCTGAATGACAACTACATACACTTGCATACAGGAATATTTATTTGAGCGACATTTAAAACGAGAAGAGAATAACAATTTCCAAATAGTAACAAGCTATTTCAGTTGATATCTAACAAAACTTCCAACAAGTTATTTTTTCCGATCAATTAACTTATTAAGAACATCTAATAAGACAGGCCTCAGTGCTGACAGCCGCAATGGTAATTGCTCGATATCGCTTTTCACCTGAAAACCGCAATTGATCACCACTTAGGATCATTGAGTCAGAGATTCTCGGACTACGTTTATACAGGGCGCATTGCTGGTAACTGGGCCAGCAATGCGCCCTGTATAAACGGTCAGGCTTTCATTCACGCGTTCTTCTACTACCTTAGTATTTCTATATGATCCTTCTTTTGTTTTCTTTTGCTTGCTTTCGACATTTTGATACTATTAGGTTGTCCGGAAAGTTCTCAGCGTTTTGTGCACCTATTTTTTGTACATTCACTGCTGATTAAAAACTCATTCTGCCTTGCTTCTCAGTAGCACATCCTGTAGAGAATTTCTTGCGCTATCTGATGGTATAATTGCACCATTGCTTGATAAACCCCTTTTTTCAAGATTTTTTCAAGCATGTGAAAAGAGCACTTCGGACGATTTTTTTCTTCGACTATAAATTGGGGCAATCCGCAATCGAAACAGCTCAACAAATTAACCAGGTGTGGGGGCCCAATAGTGCTAGAGAAAGCACTGTGCGGCAATGGCTCAACAAATTTCGTTCTGGAGATTTCAGCCTTGAAGATGAACCTCATAGCGGTCGACCTAAAGCAATACCTGACGAGGATTTGAAGGCGTTTGAGGCTGACCCATCCCAAACAGTTCGAGAGATAGCAGAAGAGCTAGGCGTTGGCAAATCCACTGTTGCAGATGGTCTGGAACGCATTGGGAAGGTGAAAAAACTCGACAATTGGGTGCCCCACAATCGGAGTGACCGGCAGGAATCGGCACGTCTCGAGGTTCCTTCTGCATTGCTTTTGCGCAGCAGAAACGACCTGTTTTTGGACCGAATTGTCACCTGTGATGAAAAATGGGTCATGTATGATAACAGGAGACGTTCCGGACAGTGGTTGGATTTCGACGAACCACCGAGGTAATTTTCAAAGCCGAACCCTCACGAAAAAAAGATTCTGGTCATCGGCTGGTGATCCACTATAACTTTTTATCACCAGGCCAAACCATCACAGCAGAACCCTACTGTGAAGAAATCGACGAAATGTACCGAAAATTTTGTCAGATGCAGCCAACACTTATCAAAAGAAAGGGTCCGATTCTTTTGCATGACAACGCCCGCCCACACGTTTCACAAATCACTATCCATAAATTGAACGAATTGGGGGTTGAAGTTCTACCGCCATATTCTCCAGACCTTCCACCAACCGACTATTCCCTTTTCAAACATTTTCAGAACTTCCTTGCTGGGAAATACTTCATCAAACAGGACCAGGCAAAAAAGCCTTCGTGGATTTCGTGAATTTTCGACCACCCAGTTTTTTACTTTGATGGGATTTCTCGACTGCTGTCACATTGGCAAAAGTGTGCTGATTCGAATGGTGCCTATTTCGATTAAATCCGATGAGTATTAAAAAAGTTACGATCGTTAGTTTTTTTTTTTTTTTTTTAAAGTGAAACACCCAAAACGCTGAGAACTTTCCGGACAACCTAATACTTCTGTGGTCCCTTCGGCGTATGGAGCGAAAGTCAGCTAGCAACAATTCGCCTAATACGACCGCAGCCTTAGCGCGGTCCATCGATTCATCTACTTACTGCGGGCTTTATTGCGTGTAAATGAATGCAGTCATTAATTGCTTTTGCGTGAAAGCATCAGCATTCATCTCTTGGAAAACAAGCTGACAAGTCATAATTAGTACCAGGGCTACCGATGGAGAAGTGAGGGCAAAGCATCTTCACTAACAACTCACCTTTTCTGCAAAAATTCTCTGGAAATTCGAGAATTCATCTCGTATTTTCAGTTTCTCCAAAAGCTCCCTGATGTTTGCGATACTCTCAGGGGCGGACTTCCCGTAGTGTTCCTGAAATAGAGACAGGGTGACTAAAATGTTCTCCTGCGGCGTTTGGGTTGCCCTGTTGTTGTTCGGGTCCGCTTGCGTGTCGTATTGCAGCACGTGCCATGAAATTGAAAAATTTGCAGTTTTAGTACAGTATCTCAAGCGTTTACAATCCCTGATAGCAACCTCACACGCTTAATGGTTTCTAGCATGCTCTTTTATTGTCTCTTCAACACCACGGGTAGGATCCTTCCTTCTTGACATTAAGCTGTGCAGGTTCGTAGACGCTTATGGCGTGCCATTTTTGCCACTCCTAGTGCCCGCTTGAGCCGTCAGAGCTCGCTGGGCCCATGAAAGCCTCCGCAATGGATTGATCGCACGCCCACCACCAGACTGTTGTCTCCTCAGCGCACTGGTTCTTTGTGCAGCTATGTGATCTTTCATTAGCCCATGTTATACTTATCTGGCCAGTGTCTACAACACTTCCTTCCCTCTGCATTCTTAGCATACTTGTCCTACCGTAGAGCAATCTGTAACTTTGCGTATTCGACAATTTTTTCTTCCGCTTTCTCACTGGTAGATCAGTAAGCATTTAAAGGTTCATACACCCCATACCCACGACCTGCATCGGTGAAATGCCTCTTTAGCAACAGCTTCAGCAACTGGTGGCGGGCTGGGGGCGTGCCTGACCGAGCCGCTCTGCTACGGCTAATGCCGTTTGGACTCCAGAAATTTCGGCTCCGAGCTCATTTTCAAATTGCCTAAGCCACCAAATTTGTATATAGAGGAAATTCAACATCCTGATTACGAGTATGACACTCATTCTTAGCGCTGGCGCCAAGAGAGGACACTACGATTACCTCCTGGGCTCAGCCTTAGCAGAGCGCAGGTAACCGTAGTGTCATCCATTAGCGCCAGCGCCAAAAATGAATGTCATATTCGTGATCAGGATGTTGAATTACCCCTATATACAAGTTTTTAGCGGATTTGGTGATCTTGCCACTTTTAAAATGAGCTCGAAGACGAAATTTCTGGAGTCCAAACGGCATTAAACGCCGCTTCTGCTACGCCCTATCAATGCGCAGCGAAAGTGGTGAACAATACGGCGCTGTAAATTTTCGTGCTCTGTGCATTGTTACATAATAGACGTCTTGTCGCTGCGGATGCTGAGCATGTTCAGCTGAATGGTTCACACGCACCAGCGTTTTCACCAAATGGTGTCGCTTCCTGTGGCTTGAAAACTGCTGCAGAATGTGCAGGCCGCGCCAAACCTCTGACACAGCATCTGCAGCGAACATTACTGTACAGATGAAGTTCCAACAGAGCACCTGTCGAGTAGTGAAGATTTTTGAGCTTAATATGTTAGCAGCAAGCCTTATAAGGATACTTGACATTACTATTAGAAAACTATAAATTCACCTTGAAATCGCTCATATCTGGTTTCCCTCGCAATTTCTGTGCCGCTCGGACGCTCAACCATGTACATTTTCCGTCTTGTATATCGGTACCGACTTTACCCGTAACATTTGGATCACCGTACACATCAAGCAAATCATCCTCAAAAGAGATAAAACTAGTTTCATAGGTAACTCGGCTCGGTGACTGGCAGGCCACATCACATTCGAAATTCGATAAGCCACTACGACTCTGAATGGAAGTAGAGTGCGTAAATTTCCATATCCCACAAAGGCAAGGGATTGATCAACGGCAACGACTTTATCCATATACTCTAACATAATCACTAACAGTAATATGAAATTTACCTGTGATTGGAAAAGAAACCCTATTTGATAAGCGAGTCGCCGTACTACT